CCCAATATGTACAATAATTATATTCTAATACTGAAAAAGAATGATAAAAACCTTTCACTGTTCCGTCTTCTCCAAATGTAACAAGAAACAGCTAGTCCAACCGTTACACCACCACAGACAGCAATCATCACGATCAGTAACGTAGAAAGCCTCTTCGTTTTCGAGTTGCTCGTTGTTGCTGTTGTAGAACTGATCGAGCTGGTGGGAGAAATTGTCATTTGTGGTCCTAAAGAAGAAACAGGTGTTAGTAGGCCTAAAATTGGGGTGTTGTAGTTGGGAACTATATGAAGGTCAGGCTCTAAGTGAAATAAACAGAAATTGCAGTTAGTAAAGGACTTTTTATACTTCTGCAAACTGTCAACATTCAACATCTAGAAACGTCGATAACGTTATGTCAGCCAAATTTGCTTCTGTCTGGGTGACTTTACTATCCAGTAAGCTCAAGTAATTACGTCGTCTCGGAGTATATTTGAGTAAATTCTTCAGCCAAGCTGTTTAAAACAATTCACTGGCGCAAAAGACATTAAACTTTGGCTCACGAGACTTTGCCTCAGCTAAGAACCTTGAAGTCTAACGGATCTGCGTCTTCGAGGTATGTATGGCTCCGTAAGCAAGCTAATTCTTTGTTATTTTAATCCTGGCTGGTAGACTACTGCATTTTTAAGCTCAGGCTGTATTAAGACATATTTGTCTATGCGCAGGCAACTGCTATACTGGAGTAAATCTGGTAACCTGTTCCAGGCTCTCTTCAGGTTGTTTTCTGTTTTATATCTCAGACCCCGCTGGTCGCCCGCTCGCTTTTTTTCGATCACCACTGACCGAGATCCTGGTGGATGGTGTGTACGAGAATTCTCTTACCTACTGTGGTTTTCCGCCGACAGAAGATCCTTTTATTTTTCGCCAGAGGATATCCAATCCACTTAGCATCTGGTGCTATGAAGTACTTACTACCAGCAACCACCTGAGGTCTCGGCCACGAAGTGTCGGTAAAATTAGGAAGAAACCAACCCTCGTGGTATTGGTTTGAACACCTCCACGATCTATCGTCAGTTCTAACACCATTGCTGGACGACGACAGAAAGTAAACCTCAGCTTCAGCAGACGGATCTTCCACATGTATCGCTTGAAGTTCGTGCTGGTCTTTGACAACCGTCAGGCTGTTGTCTGCTCTTGCTGTAAAAACTCCATCAAGATACAGACTGATAGTCTGGCTCTTTGTCAATGTGTAGATTGCTATCAAAGCTATGGGAAGAGTTCCTCACAATAACTTTATTAAATTCCCCAAAGCGTAAATTTAGGGCACCCCCGGGTTTACTCTGTGGAGGCGCGGTGGCCTCATGGTCAGTGCGCTCACCTCCGAAGCGAGCGGTCCGGGTTCAAGCCCTGGCCAGGGACATTGTGTTGCGTTCCTGGGCAAGACGCTTTACACCTTCAAAGTGCCTCTCTTCACCCAGGTGTATAGATGGGTACCCGTGAATTTAATGCTGGGGGCGGGGGTTACCATTCGATAGTAGTAACCCATCCAGGGGGGAGTAGAAAGACTCCTAGTCGTTTCATGCTACTGAAACCGGAGATAAGCGACTGCCTGATGGGCCACTTGGCCCGTATGCAGACTTTACCTTCTACTTTACCAGGTTTATTCTCGACGCACCCATGGAACTACATGAAAAGTAATGTTGATAGGAGTTAAACGTGATGGAATTAATCAAAAGCATTCTAACAAATAAATGTATAACAAAATCCTGGCAGCAATGCAAATTAAAGCACGGAATGACAAATCTATATTGAATAACGAATCAGATTTAACTCTTTTAAACCTGTGTGGATTGAAACCTATGGCGGACTGAAAAAAACCCCTAAGAGGTACCAAGATCCTCTTTTGTGGGCGCGGTTTGAAATGTTTTCACCCCTAAGAGTACCAATTCTAAAAGCAACATCCTATCTCCTGTCATATTTTTTCGGCTCAATACCGTAAAAGGTACTGCAAAAGCTCTCGCTGTGGACCTTTTGAGGCTGAACTCCCTAAGAGGTACCAAACCGATTTTTCACCCCTAAATGGTACGATGGACACCCCCGTCCTTTTTATATGGGAGTCCCCCCGGGGGTTTGATGTTAAGATAATAGGGCTGAAGCTGGGAATCGGAAAACTGAACAGTGCAACTTACTGCTGTTACTACATTTCTCCTCCTCAGTAAAGTGACGTCTACAGATGAATCTGACGGCGTTATGATTTGCTGCACTGATCCAGTGAACGTCAAGAGGAATTCCAGGCACGGGATAAAAGCCGAGCGGATCACTATTATCATGTCTGACGTAAGCGTGTGGCCATGCGTTATCATTAAAATTGGTTTGTTCCCATCCATCGTCTGGTCTAATAAGGATTTCTTTGCATTTCCAGTTATCATCCGTGGCCACTCCGTTGCTAAACACGCCTAGAAATCCACCGATATGACCTGGTAAGTTGTAAACAGACACAGCAATGACTTTCGTTTCAATAGGGAATGTAAACCACCTTGCCGCGCTCCAGAAGCCCCCGTTGTAGCCAACAAGACGTCCATCCGCGAAAACTGTGAGATTATCGTCACCAGTCAAAATGGCAGCAAAATCTTCAATGAATAATAAACGAATCAATAAATAGATAATCTTATTGATTAGATAAATGTTATTTAAATAAATAATATTGTATGAAAATGCGAATTCAAAGTAAATTTGTTTGGGTTTCTTTTTGTTTGCGTTATTTTGTATGACTATTCAAATAGACGGATTCGGCTAACGTTTTTACATCCTTGTTACATGTACCACTCAATTCCGACCACCTGACTATTATTTGGGAGGCCAGACTGTTGTGAAATTTGCCACACACAACTGATTGCATGGGAGCATGTACAAACAGAACAACTGTAACCTTCCAAATGAATCATCGCATGATCTGAATTGGGTGGCAACAAAGGATGTAAACACGTCAGCCTAATCCATCCATTCAATTCAGTCTGATTGAGGGCGGCATTTGTGATCAGTGTTTCCCACTTCATGTTTGTCAAAGATCATTATTTGCACTCGTTAAATGTATAGATATGCCGAGCTGCACTTTACCAGTGATGCTCAAGAAAGTCAAATGCTTAATGCACTTGACTGGCATGACTGATAACTCAAAGCTGAGCAGTTGAGCCGTAATGGACGTAGCTAGATATATGTCATACCGGACACAGAAATCTCTGAAGGTAAAATATTAAAAAGATATCAAATTTTCGTTATCTATGGGTTCATTAACCTGTTGCATTTGTTTGGCTTGACATCATGATCTTTGCACACAGCCACAAAATACCGAGGTAGACTGGGTACATTCTGTTATCAGTGTCAGGATGCAGATGTCATTAGCTGGAATTGGAACAGGAAATACAGTCGTGAGATAATGTGTTTTTAATTTCAAATAAAAAAATGAGTAAATACGTAATAAAGTATTATTGCACGTTATGCGAAAGCAAGAAAAAACGAGTCAAGAAAAAAGCAGTCAATAATTCAGGCTTTTAGCAGTGCTTGTAATTATGAGATGGGGTGTGGGGTGGGGGAGTTGAGGAGAGCTCAAGAAATGAAATTAATATGCCAGTCGTATGACTCATAACTGATGATAAGAATGGCTCGCTATTTGAATGAATGAATGAAAGAATGAAAGAATGAATGAATGAATGAATGAATGAATGAATGAATGAATGAATGAATGAAAGNTATTGTAGAGTTTGCAATTGTCTTTGATGTGTTACTAACAGATTGACCTGTCTTTATACCCAAAGGGGCTTTCATGATTCCTTTGCAAACTTTACCAAAGGCGCCATGACCGAGCTCTTCATATATAGTGACTTCATTACTCTTCAATTCCCATTTATCTCTCGTCTCATCTTTCATTTGTAGCTGGTGCTCATCATTTTTCCTGCAACATCAATTGTCATGCATCACATTTACGTGCATTATTTAAAAAAAAAAAACACGGGCGAAAAAACTTGCGTGGAATATTTTCCATGCTGTAGATCGTAGACTGTTCACAGACCTCTATTTTCTCGTATTTTTATTCGATCATTGAATTCGCGGATAGAATTGAGAGAGAACTGGGCGCCAGCGCAAAACGGGAGACTTGACGGAGTAGGGGGTGGGGACCGAGAAAAATAGAGGCCTGTGAACATATCTATTCTTAGTTAGGCTCGCTTCGCTCGCCTTCCGCTGTCCGCTTGCTTCGCGCTCGCTTCTCTGCTCGCCTTTTTTTTTTTCGCGTACGTTGAAAAATAGAGAGGCTGTGAACAGTCTAGCAGATCGTGACTTTCATAATTTCTTAATCCTTACCTATGAAAATTATACTGAAAGAATTGCTCGCCTAATCCTAGTGCTGGTGAATATCCAGACTGACTTTGACCAAGTGGCAAATATATTCATCCATGCTGATGAATGCCCACTTCACCTTCACCGAAAAATCGATTAATTATAACCTGTACCCAACATGTACAATAATTATATTCTAATACTGAAAAAGAATGATAAAAACCTTTCACTGTTCCGTCTTCTCCAAATGTAGCAAGAAACAGCTAGCCCAACCGTTACACCACCACCGACAGCAATCACCACGATAAGTAACGTAGAAAGCCTCTTCGTTTTCGAGTTGCTCGAGTCCGTGTCACTAGACTTTCTTTGTGAACTTGATGAAGGCCTCACGACCGTTGTTGTAGAACTTATCGAGCTGGTGGGAGAAATTGTCATTTGTGGTCCTAAAGAAGAAACAGGTATTAGAAGGCTTAAACTTGGGGTGTTGTAGCTGGGAACTATGTGGAGGTCAGGCTCTAAGTGAAATAAACAGAAATTGCAGTTAGTAAAGGACTTTTTATACTTCTGCAAAATGTCAACATTTGACATCTAGAAACGTCGATAACGTTATGTCAGCCAAATTTGCTTCTGTCTGGGCGACTTTACTATCCAGTAAGCTCCAGTAATTACGTCGTCTCGGAGTATATTTGATTGAAATTCTTCAGCTAAGCTATTAAAAGTAATTCAATGGCGCAAACGACATTAAACTTTGGCTCACGAGACTTTGCCTCAGCTACGAACCTTGAAGCCTAACGGATCTGCAACTTCGAGGTATGTATGGCTTCGTAAGCACACTAATTCTTTGTTATTTTAATCCTGGCTTGTAGCCTACTGCGTTTTAAGCTCAGGCTGTTTTAAGACATATTTGTGTATGCGCTGGCAACTGCTATAAGGAAATTAATCTGGTAACCTATTCTAGGCTCTCTCCAGGTTGTTTTCTGTTTTACTTCCAGACCCCGCTGGTCGCCCGCCCGCTTTTTCTCGATCCCCACTGACCGAGATCCTGGTGGATGGCCGTGTACGAAAATTCTCTTACCTTCTGTGGTTTTCCACCGACAGAAGATCCTATTACTTTTAGCCAGAGAATATCCGATCCACTTAGCATCTGGTGATATGAAAAACGTACTACCAGCACCCACCCGAGGTCTCGGCCATGAAGTATCGCTAAAATTAGGAAGAAACCAACCCTCGTGGTATTCATTTGAACATCTCCACGATCTGTCGTCAGTTCTGGCACCATTGCTGGACGACGACAGAAAGTAAACCTCAGCGTCAGCAGACGGATCTTCCACATGTATCGCTTGACGTTCGTGCTGATCTTTGACAACCGTCAGGCTGTCATTTGCTCTTGCTGTAAAAACTCCATCAAGATACAGACTGATGGTCTGGTTCTCTGTCGATGCGTAGATTGCTATCAAAGCTATGGGAAGAATTCATCACAATAACTTTATTAAATTCCACAAAGCGTCAATTTAGGGCACGCCCAGGTTTACTCTGTGGAGGCGCGGTGGCCTCATGGTCAGTGCGCTCACCTTCAAAATGAGCGGTCCGGGGTCAAGCCCTGGCCAGGGACATTGTGTTACGTTCTTGGGCAAGACACCTTACACCTTCAAAGTGCCTCTCTTCACCCAGGTGTATAGATGGGTACCCGTGAATTTAATGCTGGGGAGGGGGGGAAGGTTACCCTTCGATAGTAGTAACCCATCCAGAGGGGAGTAGAAATACTCCTAGTCGCTTCATGCTACTGAAACCGGGGATAAGCGACTGCCTGATGGGCCACTTGGCCCGTATGCAGACTTTACCTTCTACGTTACCAGGTTTATTCTCGTCGCACCAATGGAACTACATGAAAAGTAATGTTGATAGGAGTTAAACGTGATGGATTTATACAATAAATGTATAACAAAATCTTGGCAGCAATGCAAATTAAAGCACAGAATGACAAATCTATACTGAATAACGAATCAGATTTAACTCTTTTAAACCTGAGTGGATTGAAACCTATGGGGGACTCCGATATAAAAAGGGCGGAGGTGCTGGTCGGAAATTTTGAAAAGAACCCCTAAGAGGTACCAAGGTCCTCTTTTGTGGGCGTGGTTTGAAATGTTTTCACCCCTAAGAAGTACCAATTCCAAAAGTAACATCCTATCCCCTGTCATATTTTTTCGGCTCAATACCCTAAAGGGAACCGCAAACGCTCTCGCTGTGGACCTTTTGAGGCTGAACTCCCTAAGAGGTACCAAAGCCGATTTTTCACCCCTAAATGGTACGATGGGCACCCCCGTCCTTTTTATATGGGAGTCCCCCCGGGGGTTTGACGTTAAGATAATAGGGCTGAAGTTGGGAGTCGGGAAACTGAACAGCGCAACTTACTGCTGTTACTACGTTTGTCCTCCTCAGTAAAGTGACGTCTACAGATGAATCTGACGGCGTTATGATTTGCTGCACTGATCCAGTGAACGTCAAGAGGAATTCCAGGCACGGGATAAAAGCCGAGCGGATCACTATTATCATGTCTGACGTAAGCGTGTGGCCATGCGTTATCATTAAAATTGGTTTGTTCCCATCCATCGTCTGGTCTAATAAGGATTTCTTTGCATTTCCAGTTATCATCCGTGGCCACTCCGTTGCTAAACACGCCTAGAAATCCACCGATATGACCTGGTAAGTTGTAAACAGACACAGCAATGACTTTCGTTTCAATAGGGAATGTAAACCACCTTGCCGCGCTCCAGAAGCCCCCGTTGTAGCCAACAAGACGTCCATCCGCGAAAACTGTGAGATTATCGTCACCAGTCAAAATGGCAGCAAAATCTTCAATGAATAATAAACGAATCAATAAATAGATAATCTTATTGATTAGATAAATGTTATTTAAATAAATAATATTGTATGAAAATGCGAATTCAAAGTAAATTTGTTTGGGTTTCTTTTTGTTTGCGTTATTTTGTATGACTATTCAAATAGACGGATTCGGCTAACGTTTTTACATCCTTGTTACATGTACCACTCAATTCCGACCACCTGACTATTATTTGGGAGGCCAGACTGTTGTGAAATTTGCCACACACAACTGATTGCATGGGAGCATGTACAAACAGAACAACTGTAACCTTCCAAATGAATCATCGCATGATCTGAATTGGGTGGCAACAAAGGATGTAAACACGTCAGCCTAATCCATCCATTCAATTCAGTCTGATTGAGGGCGGCATTTGTGATCAGTGTTTCCCACTTCATGTTTGTCAAAGATCATTATTTGCACTCGTTAAATGTATAGATATGCCGAGCTGCACTTTACCAGTGATGCTCAAGAAAGTCAAATGCTTAATGCACTTGACTGGCATGACTGATAACTCAAAGCTGAGCAGTTGAGCCGTAATGGACGTAGCTAGATATATGTCATACCGGACACAGAAATCTCTGAAGGTAAAATATTAAAAAGATATCAAATTTTCGTTATCTATGGGTTCATTAACCTGTTGCATTTGTTTGGCTTGACATCATGATCTTTGCACACAGCCACAAAATACCGAGGTAGACTGGGTACATTCTGTTATCAGTGTCAGGATGCAGATGTCATTAGCTGGAATTGGAACAGGAAATACAGTCGTGAGATAATGTGTTTTTAATTTCAAATAAAAAAATGAGTAAATACGTAATAAAGTATTATTGCACGTTATGCGAAAGCAAGAAAAAACGAGTCAAGAAAAAAGCAGTCAATAATTCAGGCTTTTAGCAGTGCTTGTAATTATGAGATGGGGTGTGGGGTGGGGGAGTTGAGGAGAGCTCAAGAAATGAAATTAATATGCCAGTCGTATGACTCATAACTGATGATAAGAATGGCTCGCTATTTGAATGAATGAATGAAAGAATGAAAGAATGAATGAATGAATGAATGAATGAATGAATGAATGAATGAATGAATGAAAGACTTTATTTAAGTGTCAATGGTATTAAGCTTAAAAAACTAATTGGGGACACTATTCACACATTAAAATGTATCTTAGCCACTTAATTCGAGAAATCATAGATAGATCAAGAAATAAAATATGTAAACTTAGTATGATATAAAATGTAAACTTTATAGCGGCCTAGCTGGATATGTCACATACTGTCTCTATTTAGCGATATTTGCGACTTTCATGAAAGAAAATACTCCATTTGTTTGCAGTGTCGCTTAAATGAACCTGTATAGAATACTAGGGGTTGAAATTTTTTGCAGACATCCTGTTTAGCCTGAATGTCACGAACAGCCTGCTTATTGCTTATAGTAAGGGCACGCCCTTTGAAGAAAACTGCCTTGTT